TCAACAGTTTAATAGAAAGAGGTGAAACTAAAATGACAGGCGACACTCTGCTCTAATCACCCTCCCTCTGGAACTAAAGCTCTCCATTAGCAAGACTGCAAGGTCGATGTTACGGACCCAAATGTCTTCCTTTGCACTATATGTTGAATGTTTGGCGCTTCAATCATGAGCTTTTTGTTTTCTAAGTAAGTTTGTTTACATATTCAGTATAAAACTAAGAAAGGTAATCAAGTAATAGGGAAAATATTTCTGTGATGTACAGCTTTAAACTTTAAAAACAAACAAAATCGAAACTGACTTTCATATAGTGTTTCTTCTGCTCAGTAAAATAAATTATTATTTTTTAACATTTCCTCTTTTCATTTAATGTTATTTGTAAATCGCAGAAAAAAGCCATAAAGTATTTGTAGTTCCTTTTACAATTATTCATAAACGATAAATCTTTTCATATTATCTCACTTTAAAGGAAAATAAAAACTGGAAAACAGTATTGGGATTGTTTCTGTAATAGATAGGTAGCAGAAAAACAATGTTATTTTTTCTAATTTCAAAAAGAAGTATCTGAGAGAGTCATATAGGTTTGGATTTCACCTTCTCTTTCAATAAACCTTAGTAAAAAACTGCAACCAGTTGCTTTTTAAAATGTCTTACCTTAGTTATTGTATAAATACAGATGTTTGGTGAAATCTTTAGAGGTTGGTTAGAGAATATTTGTGAATAAACAGTATCGCAAATCCAAGCTCTTATTATTATTAGTATTATTATTATTTAAGGTTTTCAATGACTCAAGTTCAGACAAGAATTCAATTTTAACATGAAAACACATTTTTGAGGATGCTCTTCATCTATTCTGACTAACTTAGAGTTATGTTGTGTTTTCAAGAACTTCCTAGAGGGTTGACTAAAGTCCGATGCATAGCAAACTTTCCAGATTTTACTTGACGATAAAATATTGTGAAACACAAGACCTGATAGGGTCAAGTATATTAACCCCTTATTGTCCTAGAAACGAAACCAAACAACGCAAGTATTCTTTTCTGCAGAAAAGGGAGAGGGAGAACAGACCTGGGATAAGACCCCTTGAAAAGTCGGTACGCAACTCTACGAGAAACTCACTTTTCTGCTGCTTTTATTATTGGACTTCAAATGAATAACAGGAATGGTCAAACATTACCAGGAGGGGTCTGATGTTATCAGGAGGGGTCAGAGGTTTACACATGATAGAGCATGACAGTTCCTTGTGTAGTTATATTGCAGGTGATGACGAGTCAGCTGCAACCGCACATCCTGGACTGAGCGTGATTTTTCCTATTCTGGGAGAACTATTTGTTGAACAGAATTCATTCCTAGCAAGCCAAATGCTTGTAACTTAAATAAAATGATAACATGCATTTTTCTAACAAGACCCCTTGCTTCTTTAACGTTAAATTTTTTTTTTTAATCAAAGTTGTCAGTCCTTGTAGCCACAGCTGCCCTGATGCTCACTGACAGAAACAAGGCTGCTATACCCAGAAACTATCACTAAACTAGCCCTATTAACACTGACTGAGAAGGACAGAGCTGGGTTCTAACCCGTTTACACCCCAATTCTTTCTTGCATAGTTAACAATTTCATACATCAATGGTTTTGAAGTCAACAAAACGTTGTAAAAGAGTAGCTCTGATTTTAGAGTGAAGGCAGCTGATTCAATTTGTTGAGATCAGATTCTGATCAATCTCTATTATACTTTTTCTGGTACACTGCTTGTTAAAGTGTTGTGTTTGCTGCATGTATTACAACAAACTACATTTGACATATCAGAATACCAGAAACACATTCAGTAAGAGCAAAAAAACAAAAACGCATTTTAAAGCCTGATTTGACTACAAGTTTCAGATGCTTTGATATTTTGTTTCTTGCAAATATCAATAATGTTTATTATTAACTCAATTTATGCAGATTAAAATCAAAAATTTAAAAAACCTATAAAATCCTTAGATTTTCTATATTCTGACTTGAATGATACATTCAAATTAAGCTTCATCTTAAGGGACAAATATGGTCTCAGGATTGTGATTTTGAGTGGAATTTAAAGACAATCTCAGCAGTTATCAGATGCAATTCCAGACATCCACGTGACCTTCCTTCCACTTGCTTCCTCAGGCTTAATAATCTTGATAAACATAAAAATCATTTATCATTTAGAGCTCTTCCAAAATGATTTTTTCTTATCTGTGTGTTAGGCAGAAAATTGTTTTCATAAAGTCTGGAGAAAACAATATAGCTGAATCCAAACACATATTAGTGTAGATTAGCCTGGCCCCAGAGGTGCAGATGGCAAATAAGAAAAGATGAATGAAAATAATATATTTACACATCTCTGTTGCTCTGTGTTGAGTTTTCTGGAGTTCCTGCATGTCCACACCCCACACACACATTTTTCCATGCTCATGCATAGAAACATGTATGCACAGCCTTCTTTATATATGCCTTTAAATGTGTATACTGATAGGACTAGCCAGGACATGCAGCAGCCTGTTGCTAGGTTACCCCTTTTAGTGATTCCTTCTCATCCTAGTTAACAAACAGCTCCTCTGTTGCCGGGCTGACAGACAAACACACACTCAAAATCACACACTACGCACAGACGCCAACACACAAACTCGGTCTGTCCCTATTTGGCCAGAGAAAGCACCTGTGTGCTTTATGGGTTTAATCTCAGGAAAAAATGATGGCATGTGGAAAACTGAAGGAACACTTGCTTGGCCTTTAGGTCCTCGTCAACCTTTCATTTGCTCTCAGATGCCTCTAAAGATGTTACATAGATGAATGAGTGGAAAATAAACGCTTTTCCAGGAATCACTTCTTCATACCTATGGAGAAAGCATTATGGTCAAATGAATGATGGCTGAGCATGCAAAATGCAGAAAATGCATAATTATTTTTCATGAATATGACTAGAGTAGGTTGGAATCAAGGCAACATGGTTGATTTATTTTGAAATGATAGCAAGTTACAGCAACACTGCTGTGATTTTGAAAGAGTGTTAGACATTCTGTGATCAGACAGCCAAAGAGGATCTGCCATTTTCTTTTATAAATATAGAGGTTTGGAAGGCATAAAATGTGGTTTAAGGCCAAAAGATTTTCAAAAATTCCATTAGGATTGACTTACAACATTAGCTTTAGTTAATCTTTCAATGGTGTTTGATTGATACAGGCTGAGAAAACTTGAAATCTTGCAGCATTTGTTTCCCATAAGTAATATGACCCATTCTTAAGAACTGTTTGCTTCATTCAGCATAACAGCTTTTTTGTAGAAAGGTTGTTTAATCACGTTTTTTACCTGTACATTTAACTGATGAAATCTATTTCATGCATTTTTGCACATACATTTTTGCACATTTTGCATGTTTAGTTACTTTAGCTGCACAATCGGTTCATGTTCTACTCTGCTAAAATTAAACAATTTTGTTTAAGTAATTAAAAATGCATAAGTAGCTGCAAAAAATGCATTAAGTATTTTCCATATGGGGTATCCAGCAGCTGGAAAAGACTTAAAATATACAAAAATTTATGGTAAATATTCGTATATGCAAATAAACTACTGTGTCCTAATATTTTCAGAATGGATATTGAAAAGATTTTTTTCTGTCCTTTTGTTTTTCAGTAATCTAACTCACTTTGAGGCTTTTATGTGTTTCTTTCTCAAAAAACACAGAAAATCATAAAAAAGAAAGAGAAACTTAGAGACAAGTAATTGTGATGATGCCTGTTTCTCTTGTGTTCTAATAAAAGGTAAAAAGGGTTTGACATTGGTTATTGGTGATCATTAAAAGGTCTTTATAGACACAGGGCATGGTGTTTCTTGCAGTTACTATACAAGAGCATCTGCAATGTTTGATGGTGATGTGTGTTCAAAAGCTCAGTTAGATAAAAAAAAAAAAAAAAAACTTCCACCCTTTGCTGAAAGAACTGATTGACCAAGGTGGGAACACATGAAAATAGCAGCTCTCTTCCTGTTTTTTATTTAACTTGTGAGGTTACCAAGCTGAGTATTTTCTGAAACTGAAAGGCGGAGGCCATAGTGGTCAGTCAATAGAGAATGGATTTAAAACTGAGTCAGAATTAGGTCCCTAGTACCTCCAACGGACGGAACAAGGATTATTATTATTTTTTTTTAAAGATAAGTAAAGTTTGTTACCGTAAATGGAAAAGCCAGGGAGGCATTAAAGGACATTTTTATTTGAAAGATGTGAAGATCCCTATGTATGATGCTTTATTTCAAGTTGAGGAAGTCAGTTCTCTCCAAAGGGCATTTTATTCTTTCAATGTTCTCAAAAGATGAATATTTTCAGTAATGTAACAGCTGATCTTCTGTGATTCCTTGTGAACTGATCTATGTTCCCAGTTTTCACTCGTTTACAGTTTTCAAGTATTTCTGGTGATTTTTTGGGCGGATTTTAGTCTTGACTTTGTCTGTGCTGTTATAATACGTGAAGATGTATTATATCTATGTTTAGTGTCATCATCCTGCTGAAATGTAAACCATGTTCCTTGTCTAGAAGTGATTTCCAGGACTGCCCTCTATTCTTCCAAGCAACCCCTGTTTATGGTGGAGAAAAGCATCCACACATCATGAAGCTGCCACCAGTGTCTTGCAATGGATGTGGTGTGTTCAGGGTAACAGGCGAACCTTATTCCACTCTGTTGTACTCGGTTGCCTAAATGGCTTGATGCATATTACGAGCTCATAGGTCTGTTGCATAGAAGATACAAGTAACATATATTAATGGTTGTGGCTGTAAGGTGAGATCATGGGAAAAGGTCAAGAAATAATACTTAAGCTGCTGCACAGAATTTTGAGTCTTAATGTTTGTATAAGTTTAAGCTAACCTTTATTGAATGTTTACATTACAACAGAATGGTTGGTAGTGCCAAACTTTAATATCTCTCCCTCTTCCTTTGTTTTTTTTATTGTTCTCTTCGTTCCATTGCCCTCACCATCTCTTACGCTGCAGCAAAAAACTGCTCCTACTTCAAACACTTCACATCGGGTGAAGAAGCTGAGGTTTTTGAAGTAAAGACTCAGAAAGGTGCGTGTATATCTTCCCTAACTAAGACAAGTTATCACAGTACCACATTGTCAATGCGGAGTCATTCACTGAAGCATCCAATCAAATAAGAGAAAAAAAAGAGCATCGAGGCTGGAAGACACAAGTTAAATGATCAAGTGATTCTTTATGACACAAACATTAAATATGGTAAAAACAAATTTGTGCCACATTTAGGACTAAAGCGATTTGGAGTCAACTACTTTATAAAACTAATACTTTGCTTTAGTTCAACATTATAAACATGATATATGTATGTTTTTGTGAAATTATTAGATTTTTGACCTTTGGCGAGACACAAGCAGATATATATATATATATATATATATATATATATATATATAAAAATCTAACTGTGCAAAAAAATACATTTTTTAAAGATGTTTGGTCTAATAACTGAGGGAAAAATCCAAAAGCCAAAGAACAAAACATGGAACCAAAAACCAGACAACTTAATGAGAAAGACTAACAAGGGGGGGCCAGGAAAAGACGAGCAACCAGCACTGAGGAACTGCACAGGGAGAGTATATATGGGAGACTGAACAAAGACAGGACTAATGAGCTGATTGGGAGCAGGTGTGAACAGAGGTTTCTAGAAGGAAGCTAGGGAAAAGGGACCAACAAAAGAGGGCAAGCAAGAAAAACCTAAGAACTCAAATATATAGGAAATGAACCCAATAAAACTAGAAAACAAGGAAAAACATTTATCAAAGTGAAACCGACTACTCAAAAGAAAACTTAACAGATCCAAGACCGTAACTGTAATAGATTAGAATGTTATAAAAAAAAAAAAAAAGAATTTAAGATAGGCCAGCCAGAACAAATCTGATAAGTTATTTGCTTATGAATTTTGACAACACATGCTCTAAGGGATGGGTGCTTGGTGCTGTAAACCTTCTGTCTCCTATTTCTGGTCCAAAAAGCGAGAAGTTCTAATATCCAACAGGAATAAAACTCTGAGCAAGAATTAACTGCCACGCTGTTCATTCCCAGTTTGAAGTAAGTCCAAAGATTCATGTTTTAATGCTTGTGAAATATTATGAATTGATACGTTTCAGTCTTTAAACAACAGTATTTTCAATATTAAAACTATTTGTATTTTTCTATAAAATCGTCATTTATTGAAAAAAATTTTTAAACATCATATTTTTAAAAACACAAGTGAGTGATAAAAGTCATGATTTGGAGAATGTGATTTTCGAATATTTTGATCAGTATATATGTCATGTGAAACACATAAAACCTGATAAATCATATGTAAAATCCTTTAACCCTATGAAGCAGTTTCATTAGTACAAGTCTTTCACACAGCCATGCAAAGGTAACTTGGGGTTCAACATCTTCTCCAAGGATGCTGATAAAGAAAGTTGGAGTCAAACTTCCAGAATGTTGATCAGCAAACTGCTGCCATTTCTGTTAAAACAGTACAAAGGCAAAGAAGGAAGGACAAAACAGTTAACCTTTAAGATGACTGCTTGTATTTATAATAATTTCTCTAAAAAATATTTTTACCAGGTTTATAATGCTTTTATTAGAGTAAAGTATTCCTTTTTTCACATTTGGGATTTATATCATATGGTAAAACGAAACGCAAATAAAAGCCTTTCAGATACTGAATTGTTCCAACATATGACATTTTTTTCTAGATGTTTTTTAGGCATGAAAAACTAAATTGTGTTGTTAAAAATGTTCTATATGTTATCCATTTCCCCACAGGTGAAAATGTTTCCATATGTAAAACAAGTGGCTTTAACTACTTCATTCTACCCTTTGCTTTTTGTTGTTTTATTTACAAAGGTGTTTGACAATGCCCTGTTTTAGGCAAAGCTAAAGTGATATCAAATGTTTTCCTAGATGTGGATTATATATGATAACTATATCATGAAGATAAACCTTCTTCATGGAAGATGTTTTTATGTATTTATATCTAAAAATATAATTTTATACATTAATCTGTGCTTTTTGAGGTAACCAAGTATTATTATTTAGATATCAAACACTTGAACTCCACATTTTTTATTTTTTGATCTGTCTGATCTGTATAAAACTAAAAAAAAGGTAAAAACACACAAAAAAAACATTTATATTACTATTTAAGTAAAGTAAAGAGAACAAATATTTCTTTTTTTTAACTACTTTAAAATTTTCAACATTTTACTCATCCATTCTCATGGATGTAAACGTTTGTTTCATGGGTACATGTAATTGAATTTATAAAAGTATTTGGGGCTACAGTAAAAGCCAGAACATAAACCTTTACTGTAAATAAAAATTGAGTTGCACAGATTTAAACATGTCTGTTGTCTGAATGTTACCTATAAATAAAATTAAAAGAGTAAACAAAGAATTCCCAACAAAAATAAGTAGCCTAGGATGCACTTTAGAGACTCAATGTGAGGATATTTTATACCAGATACGTCTGAAGAGTTGGATTTGTGAGGAGAAATAAGATAGTTTTATCTCAGCTGAAGCGTTACTGAGAAGCAGAAAGAAGATTATCTTCATCTAAGAAACAAACAAAAGGGGAGGAGGCGGGAGGGGGAAAGACATGTCCTAATCATCTTGTTAAAAGCCTGCAGCATCTTGTCTGTCATGCAAATAGTTTATTGCCGGTTTGGATAAATGTCGGTTGTTGTTTTCTTTTAAAGTGGGGCTTATTTAAAGGCTAATTATCTGGTTTATAACTCAGCTCAGTGCTAAACTAAATCAGTCATCATCCTAAACAGTCTCAATTTTTAATGGGCACATTATGCCTATATGTCTTGTCCATTACCGCTAATTCACTTTTCTCCAACCTGTTTGTATTTTATTGATATCTTGATATCAGCTATGCATCTTCCTTTGATTTCTAATTCATTTTAATTATATTTCTATCCTAAGAGTACAATATCTCAGCTGCAACTATCGCCATCTTCAGTCTCTTCTTCATGATCCTGGGAACTCTGTGTGTGATCTTTTCCTTTGGAAAAGGGCGAGACTATTTGCTGCGACCTGCGGGGATGTTCTTTGCCTTTGCAGGTCAGATATTGCTAATAATACAGCTTCATATGATCATGTTTCCCCTATATAATAGAGTTTACAATCATAGCTGTGAAAAAAAACAACAAAAGTATTTCTGTTTTTGCTTATAGGCCTTTGCATTATTATCTCCGTGGAGGTGATGCGTCAGTCTGTCAAGCGAATGATTGATAGTGATGAGACCATCTGGATTGAATACTATTACTCCTGGTCCTTTACCTGTGCCTGCGCCTCCTTCACCCTCCTCATCCTCAGTGGAGCTGCCCTCCTTCTTATCTCCATGCCCCACATGCCTCGTAATCCCTGGGAAACTTGCATGGATGCTGAGCCGGACACGTTGGATTAGCCATGGGTGATTTTACAGGAATAAGTTGTAAACAAAATTGAAAAAAAAACAACAAAAAAAATGCTGATGTTTGTGCATCTTTTAACCTTTTAACTGAAAGTAGTTTGAGTAATAGTCATTAAGTTTACATAGAATATGTTTTTTTTTCTTTTTATCCGTTGTTTGTTTTTCTTTCATTTATCAAACAATATTCCAACATTTTATTTTTTTTAAATATTAATTTCTCAATGTAAAGTCAGAGTTTTGCAACATCACTATTTTATATTTGGTACAATGACCAATTATTACAATGCCTCGCAAAGACCTCTTACCTTATTACATGTTTTGAGAAAATCACAAATTTCAATGTAGTTTGGGGGGGAGGGTTCTATGTTAAAGATCATGACATAAAGCAGCTGTTATGTGAATAGCTCAGAGGATTGTTAGAATACAGTGGAAAACACAGCATAAAGATGAAAGATAGCTTTTCAGATAGCTGTTAAGTCCATGAAAACAAAGATGGGATGGAACAACTCCAAGCTTGTATTGAGGCATTAATGTCTACAAAGATGAAAAGACAAAATCAGAGAAACAGCTAAGAGGTTCATAATATCTCTGGAGGAGCTGTAGAGATCCACACCTAGAATTAGAGAGTATATTGGTAAGGAAGCTCTTAGTTTTAAAGATGCAGAAGTAAAGCCAATGTGTAATAAAAGTAGCAAAAGTCTCATTTAACGTCGGCCACAAACTGTCAAGGAGGGAACCAGCAAACATGGAAAGAGGGGCTCTTGTTAGATGGGAACAAAAAGTGAACATTTTGGCCTTTATTAAAATTCCACAAAACACTGAAATCCCAGCATGAAACATTGTGGTGACAGTATCATACTGTGGGACAATCTTCTTTTAGGAGAGATCCATAGCTGGTTAGAGGGACAGAAAAACCTTCAAAATGGCTGCTCATGATGACCACCAACATCAAAGGATATCTACATATTAGGGGGACCCTATTTAAGCCAAAAGCTAAATCCAATAGGGTCGGTGAAAAGACTAAATTTTGTTTACTGAGGCCCTCTGTCTCCATTTGTCAGAGGCTGAAATTTGGCATTTTGTTTTGGTTATTTGAATAAAGTGCCACAAAACTACGGTACCTAAAAGTTTTTGGATAGAAGCTGAAAAATGGACATATGATCATGGGGTATGAATACTTTTCCAGGGCTCTATATTTTTAAACTGCCATCATATTCCAATCTTATATCAGAAGTTTCATTTAGAGCTTTAAATACAACGGCTATGACAGTAAATATAAGAAAATGTGTTTTGCATCAATTCTCCTGCTGATCATATTTTTACTGTTAGATAAAGTGTTCATTTAGAGAAAACTCCTTTTACCCAGTTGTTTCACATGTTAGTCACCTGTGCCTAATGTGTCTCTGTGAGTCACTGTGGCCCAGCAGTCATTCAGCTGATGCAGGTGCAATGAAATTAAAGACCCCTAAAGTGTGCAGTTTCACAAGAAAACAACCATTTGTTAAAAACATTTCTCAGTTGAGAGCCCTTTTACTTCGGTAATCAGAACAAACCTGTTATCATAGTTATCAGAATGTGACATTATTACATCGAATATCAAAAACAGTGCACTTGAAGCACATTATATATTTCTTTTCTACACATTTTAAGCTGTTTAATCACTAGATTTATTAGAACTAATTCAAAGCTTGAATTGCTGATGTCATATAGTGAGTATTTGTAAGGCTACAGGTGAGAGATGATCATAAGCTAAAAGCATGCTTTTTCTTTGCTGTGTCTTAACAGCAGGCCAGAAAAAAATATTAACTTATATTAGCATTTTTATATAATAGTATTTGTCTTTTTCAGATGAATCAATAAAATGTTTAAACCAGACATTTAAGGTTTGATATTTTCTGTCACTTGAACTAAGTAAATTCAGTGCAACCAGAAATAGGTACAAGATATAATAATATCAAATTATATATAATATAATTTTTGGGGGATGCAATGCAGTTAGAAGCAATCAAAGATTTTCAGTTACATTTTTTTCTCATTATTTCCTTTTTCTTCTTTAACTAATCTTGTCTTAACAGTTCGGGTATACAATATAGAGAAACTGGTTCCTTGAATATGTCAGGATAATTTTGTACAACTATAATGCATTTCAATACAGTATGTGAGCAACTAAAATAAATATATTAAAGGGCTTTTCAGAGAGTACTTACAAGGCACTTCAAAAGCCAAAATACATGAACAAATAAAAAAATATACCGGTATATAAAAACATAACAAAACATACAATGCAAAGAGGGTGCAGAGTAATTTATAGGTTTTCAGTCTTGTATGTGTAACAACAACGGACCCATGAGACAAATGGTGAGATAAATAGAGACAAATGGTGAGATAAATAGAGACAAATGGTGAGATAAATATGTATACTAATACAAAAAGTACTGATTGAATATGCCAGAACATCCCTTTTTGACCTCTATAAAATGTAGTACCTCTGGCTTTTAAATACTGCAGTTCTAATGTTTCTTCCTTAATGGGATCATATCATAATATTACTTGAAAGTCATCTTAAATTGGAAAATTAATTCAAGCAGAGCTTTAAGGAAAAATTGGATTAATATGGATGAATTGATGATTTTACAGCTGAATTATTTCCATATTCAACCTTATTACAATTAATCTATTATTGCGTGTGGTAACAGTTTTACTAGTTATTAAATAATCTTAAACTCTTTGAATGTAAAGACACCGTTCTGTTCATAATATACATAATTTAAAACCAGCACGTGCAAGCCTCTTCGGAGCTGATGAAACAGATGAACATAGGCCTTTAAATCATTCATTACACTTTTATTTTAGATCTGGAGCTCCTATACACTTGAATGTCCTTCCTAACAGTTACATTCTGTGATATGTTCAGTAATTTCTTTTGAGACATTAGCAGTGATATTACACTTACTTTCATAGCTTAGAAAAAAATAGCATTTTAACAGCTCAATTTCTGAGTTAGCAGTTGAAGTTTAACGCCTGAAAGGTATCAAAACTGGGATTTCAGCACCTGGAACCGCTGCATGTTTAACAGGTTTCATTTTCACAGTAAAAGAAATTGGACTAGGTATTATTTAAACAAGTCAGAAACAAGATGGCTTAGTAAGGATTAGACAACCAAAGTTGCATAGTTAGCATATAAAAGAGGTTTTGAAACGTTGCACTTGTCAAACAAGTTCAAAAATAAAGAAAATCCAAAATTAGAAAACATGCAATAACTTAAAAAGGCCACATTACCACACTATGGAAGAGGTAAAGATATTGGACAACACTTAGAGAAGAGGAGACTGTGTGAAAGAAGATACTCCATAACCATGAAAACAGCATCTTTATCAAGGCTTAAATGTCGGTGTAGATTTTGTTTGTAATGTCAGCAGGAATTACTAAAAGTCATTATGATTTTTTTTAAATAGACTGCTGAATGGAAACACTTTTTGTGTCCCTAGATAAAGATCTTTCATCATCATTACTGCTTTACAAACATTGAGACCTTCTCATCTATCACCTTTACATTCATGTCAGGTGGTAGGAGGCAGGGAAACACCTAAATCATGTAGGACAGTGGGCCCTGAGGACGAGGCTTAAGGAACCCTGTTTTACAGAGTGTGAGATCTTCTGCCATCATCTGCTCGAGTAACGGCATCAGAGCAAATGACTCAAAAAAGCTGGATGTCAGTAACCCATCCCAGTAGTCAATGGGCAAGAGATCGGGTACACCCCATACAGTCTGCCAGTCCATCATAGGGCACAGAGATGCACATTCACTCCTAAGGACATTTTGGAACATTCAAGTGCCTAGACTGTGTGAGGAAGCTGGAGAAAACTCATGCAGCCACAGGCAGAATGCGCAAACACCACACAGAAAGGTTCCGGTTCCCCCTGGGACTCAAACCCAGAACCCTCTTGCGGTTAGGCGATGGTGGTAACCACCACAGCACTGTGCCACCCTAAACGAGAATAATTAAAGAGAATAAAACTGAATTTTTATATGTAATCTAAATACAAATTAAATATAAGACTGTAAAAAAATAGGAATAAAATGATTGGTAATATAAAAAAAAATTGACTGAAAACCAATTTTGTTTAAATAACACAGTCAAAGTCCACTCTAAACAAAGAGGTTTTCCTTCTTAAGTTAAAACAACTGGGTGATTCAGTGCTTGTACAGTTTTTTGTGTGTTTCCAGGTTAGTTGAGTATCAGAACTAAAATGTCAGGTTGGGTGGAGGCTTTGGGGACCCAAATGCAGAGATAAGTATTGCTGATTTAATGAAGGACTCACAGGCAAATGAGACAAAAATCCAGGAAAATACAAAAATACAGCAAAACCAAAAAATCCAAAGAACATCATAGAAAAACAAATTTGCGGAGTAAGAGACGAGAGAGCAAGGAAACAACAACAAGAAACTAGCACTGAGTGAAGGCTCTGCTGCTCGTTAAAGCTCAGCACTCTGTGTAGATTACCCAGGTTCTCCACAAAGATCCTCTCTGGAAGGGATGCCTAACTCACACACACCCACACACACACACACACACACACATACGAGAACCCTGACAAAAAGCTGCTGCTCCGTGTTTAGGTACAGTTCTGGGTATGCAGAGGACCTGATAGGTCTGGACACTTGATAAAATAACATAACATCTGTAATGTATTTTGGAGATAAGCCTTTAAGTGATTTATAGAGTACAAGAAGAGTTCTCTGAGGTGCCCAGATTTCACTTCTCCCAGAGAGCTCCTACAGCTGCCAGGGGGGCTAAAACACCTCTTGATGGAGGAGATGAACGGGAATCCAAAACAGATGTCCAATCCACGTCAATTGACTCCTCTCGATGTGGAGGGGCAGCAGCTTCCCTTCAAGCCCCTCCTAGATTGCAGGGATACCCACTAAAGGAGTGTCTGGCCACGCTGTGGAAGGAGCTCATTTCAGGTGCTTGATTCTGGAATCTCATTCT